TTCAAAAATAAATTAGAGTGGATAAATTGATAAAAAAAATTATTCGAATCTTTAAAATCAAGATTGATAACAAAATTCGTAATAGTATATCGCATGAAAAGGCATGCTTAATGAATATACATAAAATTTGTTATCTATATACAATAGGAAATAAAATCAATTATTTTAGTATTCTGACAAAAGATGGGATAAATTTACAAGTTGCAAATCTTACTATATATTTGTGTTCCATATAACTTTATCCCTCTTAGTTTGTCAAGATCACCAGGGTACCTCTTGATTATATAATTCAACATTATTTTTAACATTTTTGCTATTTTTTTTCGATCTCCAACATAGTGAGTGTGATCTGGATCCAAAGGAGATCCCGATACCTCAATGATTGAGATTTCTAATGGAACTACCAGTGTATCAACTATGGCATCAATTTTATTCCCAGGGTTCCAATGATTATCTTCAACCAATAATTCATTTTTTAAAATCAATGAGGCCTTTAATTGTGCTTCTCCCCTATTAAAATCGTAAATCAATAGATTGGAAAAAAATTTAATAGTTAAAAAAGTAATGATATAATATGAAATTACCATCTTAAATTAAATCGAGATTGCTTCTTGAAGAGAGCCCGAAATATGTTTGAGATAAAATTAATTATATAGTGGTATTCGGTTTGGCCTCTGTTGAATCCTAATTGGTTATCTCTCAGTTGATTTTTACTATTTTAACAACCAATATGATCAGTCATACAACAATTCCAAGAAATTTCTAAGGCTGACAAACACTTATAAAATTTTAACAAACTTCAATGTCTTCTTCTTCCATTTGTTCTCTGAAGATTCACATATCTTCTTTTTTTCAAGTTTGATAGCATCACAAAGCCTATTCAATGTAATCTGGTTTTCAAACAGATAAAATCAGAAGTGAACAAATAAATATGTTTCCCTTCTGACCAGATGATGATCTCTTCCAATTAGATAATGAACTTACAATCTCTTCCAATAATGAACTTACATAGTCCCCTATGAGTGTTCGTTCGTTTACTGCTGGTTCCATTAAAGCCTTTTCCAACTCAACAATTAAATCAGACCAGATATTTTTGAATAATGTTTTGGAGTAAGTAGTTGATGCTTTAATTGTGTCAATGATACTAAAGTACAAAAGGCTAAACAAAATAATATTCATAAAATATTATTTCCACTGCACAAAAACTTCTAAAATAAAAAAATAATAAATATCACATATACTCTTGTTTATGTATTTCAGGCACAAGTTTATATGATTCACGCCATTTATTAATAATTGAACGAATGCCAAGACCATCCATTATTAAATTTAAATTTTCTGCTTCTTTGTTTACCTGTAAATTGAAAATTTTGCTAATTTTGTTAATATAAAAAGCCATCATTCTTAGAGAATATAATTTTCTTGCCTTTTCCACCTGATCTCTACTTTCATAATAAAAATAATTGATTAGAATGTTAAATCCTTCTTTAAAATTTAACTAGAGTAGCAGCAGCAGTTGCATGCAACCACCACCACCTTTAAAAAATATAACACTTACCCAACTGAAATAGGTTTAATTTTATCTTTCTCTTTTTCTGTGTTTCTTTTTCTTTTCAGATCATCACAAGTAACTCTCTACTTTCATAATAAAAATAATTGATTAGAATGTTAAATCCTTCTTTAAAATTTAACTAGAGTAGCAGCAGCAGTTGCATGCAACCACCACCACCTTTAAAAAATATAACACTTACCCAACTGAAATAGGTTTAATTTTATCTTTCTCTTTTTCTGTGTTTCTTTTTCTTTTCAGATCATCACAAGTAACTAATTTCCTTAAAATTAAAGTCAAAGTTTAATAAGTTTAATTCAATAACTAGAGTGACGAGTGATGGCGATAACCACCACCAAAATTATGATAAACACTTACTTGCTTCTTTCGACTAATGTATTTTCAGTTTTTCTTTTTTGCTTTTTTTGTTTCGTAATAGGCATTTTAAAGTTTATTATTTGATCGACAAAAACAAACACATCTAATTATTTATGCTATCAGACGCGAATTGATTTTTTTTTTTTTTTTTTGGAAAAACAATTTATCTTTACAAGATGAGGAAACATGAGTGCTGTTGTTTGGTTTGGTTTGGTTCTCCTAAAGAGAAAGTGTTGTTTATTGATGGTGAGAGATATCATTTTTATTGCATTGTATTGATTTTTTTTTTTTAATTTTTTTATAAATATTGATTTATAAATGTCATGATATACGCTTTTTTATTATTCTATATAAATGTATATTGTTGAAATCAAGACGTGGAGCAGATCTTGTTGTGTCTCTTTAGGCATTTGTCATAGAGGATTCTCGATGATAACAAGTAAACGATTGGTATAATTTCGCTTTTCATAATCAACATTAATTAATATTATCAATATTTATTACAAGATGTCAAGGCGACATGAATGTTGAAAAAGAAACAATCCAAGAAACATTTTGATATGTGATGTTTGATTATTTGGAAATTGGCAGACGTCAAAGCACAAACGCTACCTTAAACACTTACAGTCATTCTCTTACATTCCTCATGTACACAAGGTTAATCTGACTGCATTGCCCCCGATGATATGATGATGCAACAGAATTCCAGTGGGGGGCGTAAGGCCCTGGAGCTGCATCAAGACTGCATCAATTGTCAATGGCAATTTTCACTAATCTTCTTCCCTGACCAGAGATGGCCGCTGCCATGTTGGCCGAAAAGTTGTCTACCTCTGGATAAAAATGGCACTGTGACCAACAAGCTTGCAACTCTGGAGGAATATCAAGAGAATCTGCAACTTGTTTCAAGCACAGGAGGTCGCAATTCAGAGCAGGATTGGTGGCCCTGAAATTGCATTTGTCGACAAAAACAAACACATCTAATTATTTATGCTATCAGACGCGAATTGATTTTTTTTTTTTTTTTTTGGAAAAACAATTTATCTTTACAAGATGAGGAAACATGAGTGCTGTTGTTTGGTTTGGTTTGGTTCTCCTAAAGAGAAAGTGTTGTTTATTGATGGTGAGAGATATCATTTTTATTGCATTGTATTGATTTTTTTTTTTTAATTTTTTTATAAATATTGATTTATAAATGTCATGATATACGCTTTTTTATTATTCTATATAAATGTATATTGTTGAAATCAAGACGTGGAGCAGATCTTGTTGTGTCTCTTTAGGCATTTGTCATAGAGGATTCTCGATGATAACAAGTAAACGATTGGTATAATTTCGCTTTTCATAATCAACATTAATTAATATTATCAATATTTATTACAAGATGTCAAGGCGACATGAATGTTGAAAAAGAAACAATCCAAGAAACATTTTGATATGTGATGTTTGATTATTTGGAAATTGGCAGACGTCAAAGCACAAACGCTACCTTAAACACTTACAGTCATTCTCTTACATTCCTCATGTACACAAGGTTAATCTGACTGCATTGCCCCCGATGATATGATGATGCAACAGAATTCCAGTGGGGGGCGTAAGGCCCTGGAGCTGCATCAAGACTGCATCAATTGTCAATGGCAATTTTCACTAATCTTCTTCCCTGACCAGAGATGGCCGCTGCCATGTTGGCCGAAAAGTTGTCTACCTCTGGATAAAAATGGCACTGTGACCAACAAGCTTGCAACTCTGGAGGAATATCAAGAGAATCTGCAACTTGTTTCAAGCACAGGAGGTCGCAATTCAGAGCAGGATTGGTGGCCCTGAAATTGCATTTGGGCTCTGATGTTAAGAGGGAAGTTGTAAAATAGTGTTTTGTATAATCATTTTCCTAAATGCTCTGTTTCTCGGATACTAACCAATTTATAATTTGGGTAGAGGACTGGATGGGTTTTTGCCCAATCAGTCTTCTGTCCTATAGGTTAAATTATTGCATGATTATATATACACTCACTGGTCATAAATATAAGGACACTTGCAGATCATTGGAAATAATTGAACAAAGAAACATGAAAAA